AGCTCCTTCACCAGCCTTTATTTCCACCTGCAAAAGAAGCCAGAGAGACTGATGAGCCCGGCTGACATCAGGAAAGAAGCAAAGTCCTTCTGTTGCACACCCCCGGCACCACTGCAGGGGAAGGAGGAGAATGGGAGGGAGGGGGCCTCGGAAAGAAAGGATAGCAGGGACCATCTTCCTGCCTCCAGCTGCCGCCCAGACTCTCGGGGGCTCGGCTCATTCGCCTTCCTGTGTTTTTGTTTTCATTTCTCCTTTTTCCACCCTCTCGAGATCCAGAAGGACACTGCCCCTTCTCCTGCGTCCTGTCTGGCCTCGTCCCTCCCCGCCCTGCCCGCTCTACCTCGGCCGGCCTCCTCTGGTGCATCGGCCGGCGGGCCTCCCATTATCCCCGCCGGAGCACACGGAGGGAGGCACTGCAGAGGAGGCGGCGGCCAGCTGCCGGCTTGGCTCCCCTCCCCGCCGCCGGCGAGGCTTGTGTGGAGGGGGCGGCGCGCTCGCCAGCCAATCCCCGTGGCCCGCCGGGCGGGGGCAGGGCCGCCGGGGGCTGGACCTGCCCAGCCGGGAGGCGGGGGCGCAGCCAAGGGTGCCGCGGAGCTGCGCTGGCTGCCGCCCAGGCCTGCCGCCGCCGCTCCCAGGCAGGCCGGGGATCCCGGGGCGCCCCGCTTCCTCTCGAGTAGGGGACCCTGAAGGTAATACCCAGGGTGTCCTCTGCATCTCCAGGGTTAGAGATGACAGACTGTGCCTGGGGTAGAGCTGGGGCCGACTGGTGAGACGCGCCCCCCCCTCCCCCCCCCCCCCCAGCCACTCTCTAAGCCCAGGACACCAGCACACTGCTTCATCCTAGCGGCAGCGAGGACGGTGCCAGGTGCAAGGATGAGAGAGCAGGAAGTGACAGCCTCCGCAATCTCCCAAGCAGCAGCAAGCCTTGGCACTACGAACCTTTACTCCATTTGTGCAGATGAGGAAACAAGGCAGGGCAAGTAAAGGAACTTACCCAAGGTGACAACAGCTAGAACACAGCAGGGCTGGGACTCCAAGCCACGTTCATCTGGCTCTAAAGACCAGATTCTTAACCCTTAAACAGTCCTGCTCCACCCTCTCTCTAGCGCCCACCTCAGAGAATAGACTCTTCTTCAAGCCCACCCACACTGCCTGTGGCTCAAAGCCTCACCGAGTCAGCCTTGCCCTCCCCACACACACCAACACCCACACCTCACCCTAGATCACTCATCCCTCATGCCTGAGCACACCCCACCCAATACAGACAGCCTTCCCCACCCCCCCACCACCACCAGGAGGTTTCCTCCTCTCCCAGAAAGGCTATAGATGAAGGTGGCCCTCCAGGCCCCAGGGCCCCCCAGACCTCAGGACTTCCCATCCCTGGAAAAGGCTGAGGAGGGGAGGTGACCCAGACCCAAAAAACTCTGGCCTCCAGTTCCCAGACTCTGAGCCTTTGAAGGCCACAACACCCTGGAGGTTAAAAGGGCAGCAGGAGAACAGAATAGGGAGAGCAAAGTCCTACAAACCCCTCCTGGATTTAATTTCCTGGGTATCCCTGCTTCACCCTCTCCCCTCCCTGTAGATGAACACCTCAAAGTTTCCAACTCCTGGGAAGGGGACTGCTGCAGACTCTGGTGCTCACACATCTGGTTTAGTTCCCGGGTCCATCACCACCTAGCTGCAGCACCTTGGTGGGGTTACTTTACCTCTCTTAGCCTCACTCTGCTCTTCTGTAAAATGGAACTACAAATAGCATCTAACTTGTGCACAGCCAAGAGGATTCTGTGAAGAAATGCAGCACAGTGCCTGCCACATGACGGAGCAAGCTACCATCACTCTTAATTTCTGATGGGGCTCACTGTGTGCTACTTCTCCAGAATCTGGCAGACGAAGAAGCTGAGGTCACAGAGGAGAAATGACTGGAAGGACTAGTTAGGATGTGTGAGACCCTTTGTTTCAGTGGTGTGTTCTGCTATCCGCTCCACCACAGATGCCCAGCCCAACTGCTGTGTCCTCCATAGGGCCCCAAGGGGATACTCAGAATGGAATGAGCTGCCTTGGGAGAGACAGCAAAGCTGGCCTCTGGTGAGGAGATTCCAAGAGGCACTGCACTGGGGCCTCACCCCTGGGGACAAAGGGCAGCCCTCGAGGGCTCCTCCCCAGGGCAGGTAACAAGGCAAGGCAAGGAGCAGTGTCCTGAGCCATGGCTCAAGACAGGGAAATGGCTTCTGCACCCCACAGCTCTTACCTTGGCCAGGCAAAGTGAAGTCCTTTCTTTACTCTGGCCCCTAGAACCCCAGGCCCGCCCACCCACACCATGCACAGCCTGCTGCTGGATAAGAGTGACTAGTGCTGCTTGGACAGTAACAATTAATACTGTTGCTGCTGCAGCTGCCACAGTTTATCAAGCCCCTGCTACGTCCCAGGCCCTGTGCCAATAACGCTGTTGGAGCATCTCATTGGACTTATTCCACACCTTGTCTTTAACGCGGAAGCGGACTTAGAGATGTTAAGTTACTCACCCATCAACACACAGCTGGTGGGCAGGGAGCAAGAATTCCAATCCATGCCTTTCTCATTCCAGTTCTCTTCCTCCCCCCCCCCCCCCCCCCCCCCCCCCCCCCCCCCCCCCCCCCCCCCCCCCCCCCCGCCAATCCCAGGGAAATGCAAAAAGGGATAGGGTCATTTGAACCTAACCACTTCCCTTCAAGCTATGGGTCTGAGAATAGTAATGTTTTTTCATGCCTCAGAGACTTCTTGAAGCTGCTCCTTGACTCAGTTCTCCTCCCCCTCTCCTTCCCCTGCCTGGTGCAAGGCTTCGTCCAACTGTTACCTCCCTCTGAGGCTTTCCCAGTTCATCTAGCTTCCGTGAGCATCCCCCATTCCTCCTGGGGCCTCACAGCGCAGTGCACAGCCTCTCCTCGAGCACCAGTCACAACCAAGTGCAGTTATTTATTTACACGGCGGTCTTCCCCACGTGGGCGGGGGCCCTGTCTTCCCCACTTTACTAGGCTCTGCACATAGCTGGAATGTGCTGAGCTGAGTTTCTAGGCAAGGAGGGAGGAGAGACAGGGGGTTGGGCACTGAAATGTAGATGCCACTCTCCTGGTTGACCTTCTCTTTGAGGTCCCCAAGGATCAGAGGGACACCTGCACTCCTGGGAGGGAAGGACCTGCTAGAACTAAACTACAGCTGAGTCTTGGCCAGCACATACCTTCCTCACCAGGCTGCAGGAGCTACCTGGAATGCTTGACCCCCACCCCCACCCCACTGCTAACTCAGTCCTACCCCACCCACATGTCCTGGCCCACCCCCAGCAGCCTGCAGACACCCTAGAAGAGCCCATGGTCCCGGAAACAGTCCACCTGCTCCCACCCCATCTCTGTCCCACAATGAATGCCAGGGCTCCAAGGAGTCACAAAGGGGCATGCTCCCAGCAGAGACACTCTCCATACCCCCACAATCAACCATCTCCCATCTCTGTTGGCCTCTCTTTCTACATTTTGGTCTTCTTAGGGACTGACCCAGAGGTACTTGGGACCCTTGGGGACTAAGGGTTCCTCTCCACTTTCTGTCATGACCCCAGTCCCACAGTACTCCCAGCAAGAGGAATGGGGCCATAGCCCTCCCCCCTGGAGAAGGCAATGGATTCACACTCGCTCTCAGAACACACCAATTACCCAATACTGAGAACCTCGGGAACACAGGCCAGAAACCACACTGATACACAGAGACTAAGGAATGGGGACACATTCAGACATAGATTCAGGAGCCTGTGCAGGAATATCAACCAAACATCAACCTCACTGTAGGGCCCCATACTTGAAACGCGATGTATCATATCTTACTTAATCCTCAAAACAAACCAGTAAGACAGGAATTATTCATGCCCATTCTACAGATAAGAAAAATCAGTTTACAAGGTGGCCAAGCACCTTGCCTAAGGTCACACAGTGAGAGGATGACTGAGCAGGGCTCTTGTCACCCCTTCAGTTACAGTGATACAGCTGGAGGTGCTCTGGGTAGTTCTATGATTTTCATACCAACCTACCTCTTCTAGAGTTGGCAGGAGGCAGGCAGACTTCTCTGGCATAGCTGTGTCCTGAATGAGGTCATTCCCCACAAAGCTTTACTTTAAAGTCCATTTCAAGACCCACTTCCTCCAGGAAGCCGTCTAGGGTTACCCCAGTCCTCTGCCAGCGATAGCACTTCTAATGTTTCTCATTTGACACTTGGTATCGCTATTTATCCCTCAGGGTGTTCTGCCTCCTCAACCAGAATGGTTGGAGTTGTGACTTCCCAAAGCCCCTGAGAGGTTTTGCACACACTGAAGGCACCCGTAATCAACTGTGGGGGAGTCATACCCTCCTTTCCTTCCCTCTCCATCACACAAAGGATCCTGCCGTCAAAGAAAACCAATACCCCCTCCACCTTCAGAGCCTATGTTTGAAGTCCCCGGTGTCCACGCATCAATTTCCACCCAAGTAATTGCAGCCCATCACACACATCATCCCCTATATTTGAAACTCTTTGCGGTTGTCATGGGAACTGCCTTTGCCTTCATTCACTGATCAGGCCTCACAATTAGCTTTGGCAGCGGAAGTCTGTGTCAACAGCAATCACAAGGAAGAGGAGGAGGAGGAGATGGAGTGTGCAGAGGAGAAGGAGAGGAGGAGAAAAGGTGTTTCTGGAGATGCAGCGGAAACAGACTGAAGCCATGCACCCTGCAATGTCCGAGGGAATACTATCAGAACCAGCCAACAACTCCACCCACAGGTTTCCGTACTAACAAACAGAATGCACCTGCCCCGCCTCTCCCCCCACCCCTCCCCCACCAGCTAACAGGTAGCAGCTGTGGCTCTGCCCACACCCTGCATGCCCTCCCAGAGGCTTGTGAGAAAGTCTTGCAGTCCACGAACCTCATCAGGGTTTCTCCACCCCAATTTCAACAGCCTTGGGCCACCAAATGTTCTGGGATCCAAGCAAACAACACGGGACTTTGAGAAGTGGTTGAGAGGTGGGACAGG